TCAAGAAACCACCTGTATTAGCTCACACCTGTGCAGAATGGTGCCATTTAGATCATCTTGGGAACTGGGAGCCATATGATTCTGAGCAAGAAGTACCCTTCCTTGGTTGTCCTCCCTGTTTGGGCTCCAACATGAGTGTGTTCTTCCAAGAGTGAGGTGCTTGGAGCTGACCTGGCCTGACCAATGCAGAGTAGAGATGACAAATTATTCTCCATTTTCTTAAAGTTAGCTTGGAGGATTCAGTGGGTACACTCTCCTGTTGATTCCTGTGCTCATGAACTAAGCGGCATGTAGGTTAATAGTGTTTAAAGGCAGAATAGATTGAAGAGATGGAATTTTTTTATCTTTAAGATTTTGAATTTTCACAGAGTTGTGGATATATTTCTCTGATATGTTACACCTTCTATCTCAGTTAAAAGGACCATTTAGATTTCCCATAAGCACAGAACCACTAGATGAGTCCACATTCTCAAAGTTTCTAACCCTGAAATTTTGATTTGATAGGTCCAAGATTGGGCTAGCTTCCTTCTTAAAAGTTCCCTGGGATATTTCCCTGATGAGAACTCTAAGATGTTCCTTAAGAACTATCACAAATCATGGTTTAGGACCTAGGACTACACTGGGGGTCATGGTTTGTGACTCACATATGCACTTATATATATCAAGAGACCATATACTTAAAAGAATTAATAGACTAAGGGGAAAGAAGACTTACTCCAGGGAAAATTTCAGTGTTATCACATAATTTCATTTCAGTATACATCCAACACCTGATTTTAGAAAACATGTGAGATACAGGTATCTGCAACATGGAATGACCCTTATTTGGAATTTGTTTTATTGATTAAGAAAATTTCAAAACAAGCAAAGTTTTAAGTAACATTATTTTGGGGAGGAACATATATATATATATATATAAATTATATAATATATATAATTCATTATAATTTGCAATCATTAACTTGTTTGGGATCTGGTGAAAAGATAATTCTGGAATTCCTCTTTCTTACCACCATCCATGGGTTTTAAGAGGAAAAAAAGTCCATCTATGTAAACATAATGGTGATGATAGCAATACCTTACATCATAGGTCATAAGTTCTGGCAATGACTCAGTTCTCAGTCCCTAAAAACCGTGCATCTCTTAGAGGTAAAGAAGTATACAAGAAGACAGTATTCATCTTACCAAAGGGAAATCCTCATTGTCTTTTAAAATATGTAAATACTGAGGATCCCATCTTGATTTTTTTTTATTATGATGTAGTCCCACATTATTGTTGTAGTCAAGTTCCTTTAACCCTCTCTTTCCACTCTTAAACAGGAGAATAATTTTAATAGTATTTAATTAATATAGTCAGTACCAAAAATTTCCCCTATTGGGGCCTTTCTCTTCCTCTGGTTGCCTCACCCCCAGTCTAACTAATGCTCATTGCTGCCCTCCTGGCTGGTTTAATGCTGGTTCTCACTTTCCCCCATTAGCTATTGTATTTAATAAGCATTTCTATCTAATGAGGATACACCCACCAGTTTTTAAACAGAAATTACCACCTAAATGTCCAAGAAAATGAAAGTTTGTAAAACATACCATACCATCTCTAATGCCACCGCTATCGTAGCATCCATGAAAATAACCAATTCATAAATCTGTCTCCAAAAAAGTGTGATATTTGGATTTTTAGCATTTTGCCTCTGTGAACATCATATCCATACACATCACAGATTTTTCAGAGTTCACTTTAATTTTCAAAATTGATATTCTTGTTCCTTATAATTTTTAGCTTTAATTTATGAATCATTTTAGCCTTTTAAAGGTAAGTATTACTATACCACTCTCTTATGGAGGCAGAATTGTCCTCTTACATTATTCAAGGTGCTTTTGTAAGAAGCATTTATAAAAAGAGCTTTTATTCTTTGCTAAATTAGTTTCACTCATACCTGTGATAGTGAATGAGCAAAAAATAGGAGGGGGTTAATTTGATTAAAGCACCATATATCTAGATCTGAAGTACCAAGGCAATACTCCCTTGGACTATCAATATATACTTAAAAAAATGAAGGGCAAGAAGGTGGGTACCCCCAGGGCAGCAGTAGAGATACCAGTGGGAAGGGGCAAGCATAAGGGAAGGGTGAATGAGGGTGAATATGGTGGACGCATTTTTGTATTCATATATGAAAATAAAAGAGAATGAAACCTGTTGAAATTGTTCTTAGAAGGGGGGAAGGGGAAGAGGGAGAATGATGGAGAAGGTAAATCTAACTAAGATATGTTGTAAGCTCACATGTAAATATAATGTATCTCCCTGTACAAATATTATATGGTAATAAATTTTAAAAATACAGCAGATTTTTGAAAGCATATTTATTTAATGTTTACTATTTACAAATTAAAAATTAAACTGAATGTATAGATTTTATATATTTGATTTTTTTTTTGTACTTGATTTACTGATAATCATCCTTTCTATATACTTAAATAACTCATATAAGCTAAGAAATATAGCAATTCTTAAGTTCTCCTAAATTTCACAATACTATTTTAAGAACTTAATATGTTCTTTTAGCATTCTCATCTTAAAATCACAAATTAATTATTTATCTGTATACTTCATACTGAAAATATAAGACTGCCCATTACTACAATAGGCCATGTTCTCTTGCCCACTACAAACATCAGTAAAAACAATAAAGCACAATTCTGTACCCAAAATTATCCATCCTTTTTAACTTTAAACTCAGTCCTTTTGAATGCTTCTATACCTAATTTTTTTCTTTGAAATTGGAAAATGTAATCCACTTAAGGAAAACACATGTTACCTCAAATAAGTTTAGGGTTATAGATCTAAGTAATGTTTGGGGTTACCTTCCAGTTTGGTTATGTATTTTACTGGCCTAAGATTCTGCCTGGGATGGAAGAAGACAGCTTCAAATGTCATTGCTTCATGATCCTGGCTGCCACTATTTTGTGAATCCCAAAACTTAAGGATGGTTAAGACAACCTCATATCTAGGTTGTATTCATATCATTATCCAATTATTTTGTCTTCTTATAAAAGCCAGTAACCTTCTCTCATGTAGGAACATTCCTTGACTTAATTTTGTATTTCTTCAGTTCAAGCTTGAAATATCTCTGAACTTCATGAGGAGTCTTTCATTCTTTTCATAATCCTCTTATCTCTTAGGCTCACAGTTAATTCTTCTTGGTATTTTAAATGACATCAGTTTTAATTTTGGGTATGTCTCAGTCTTAGTCTAAGTGGTGATTTTCAGTCAAGGTACTGTTCCCAACTCAAGCTATCTTTAACTTTATAAATAAGCATAATAGCTCATGTGAACATTTTATTTCAAAGCTAATTCAGTCCATTTATGGACTAACCAAATGACTCTGAGCAATGAAGAATAGAAGAAAACCATTTGCAGTAATATAGTAGACCTATGATCCTGTGTGGACTTTAATCTAAGCCATATTATTTTATAAGTTAGCCAATTTAATTATAATATCTAACTTTAAGTGGGTTCTATGAATGTTTTTGCACATTCATGCATAGTAATTTTAATTTTCACCTCAACCCTGGGAAGCATGATTTGAAGTGTTTACAAGCAAATTATCTGTGAAAGTGTCTTATTTATTTAGTGTCAAGAACTAGAAAGACAGAATGTTGATGTTTTTTAATAAAAACTAAGTAAACATCAAGTGTTAGTTTTTTCAATAAAGGATAATAGTATTTTGCATATTTACTAGGCATTCCATAGAAACAAGTGCACATTTGTGTTCTTGTTTCCTTCATTGATGTATCTGTGGGGTATAATATTTAAATCATTAAAGTAAATGCTCAGAAAAAGAGTCTCAAAGAATTCATCACATATATTGATCATTAAGAATCTAGAAATTTGTAAACTAAGTCAAATGCTTAGGTAATTTACAACTTCATTATCTGAATCTCTGTAAGTTGCTAAATTCTATCACATTAATACCCTGGTAACATTTATTCTGACTTAAGAGTTTCTGGATAGGAAAGGATAGATTGTATATTAAAATTTTCTATTGTTATTAAATAAAGTTATGATTGTTATTTTCAAAACTCAAAGACCTCATCAAATTTGTTAATTTAAATGTGCTCAAGATTAAAGGCATAAATTTTGTAGCTATCTTTTCCTGAGAGCTGTAACCTATGGAGAAAAATCTCAACTTTGCCAGAAGATATTCTCTGATTAGCAAATTTCAGAGCACCTTACTCCAAGCATATCCTCACTTTTTTAAGAAGGTGGATGTGAGACCTGTTTGGGCACAAAAAGGAAACAAAGAACACACCACCTCTGATTTCTCCTTCAGCAGGCATCAGAAGGACAGTTAATCATATCTCTCATATTAAGGGCAACTCACCTTCTTTCAAGAGATTGTTTCTTAAAGAGTTCATTTATTATTTTGCTTATTTTTCTCATTTTATTTCAAAGTCCCTAACTTAATTTCCTTTTACTGAAATTCTTTAATTCATTGTTAATTTATCATATTTGGTTTAAAAATACATTAATAGCCTGGCTTGTTTTGCTATGCAGACGACCTCTAGGAAATCAATTAATTTTGCCAGATTCAATTATTTTTGGTGGTATTGGGGTTTGAGCTCAAAACCTCATGCTTGTTAGGCAGGCACTTTACCACCTGAGCCCCTCCACCAACCCTGCTGTATTCAATCTTAAGTGGTCAATTTGAGATATACCCTAGTTGTAACTACATATGACATTTTTGCTAACCTATCCCTTACAAAAGCTGATGTCTGAATATTGGACCTAGATGACAATGTAAAGAAATTAATTTTTGTAGTACAACCATACTGAATCATAGAGCTTTGAGTAATATTGGTCTGAATTTGCTTTATTTTATATAAAAATAGTCTCAGGATCCAGAATTGAAAGAACTCTAGGAATAAGTGTTAACATTTCCTTCCTCTTAGTTTTTGTTTGTTATACCAAATACAGCAGAGATTACGGTATTTTATCCCTATAGGTTTGGGATGAAAATCTTGCAAAATCTGCAGAGGCTTGGGCAGCTACTTGCATTTGGGACCATGGACCTTCTTACTTACTGAGATTTTTGGGCCAAAATCTGTCTGTACGAACTGGAAGGTAAGAAGCAATTTCACTGATGCAGTTCTAGTTATGGACTCCAAAAGAAGAATGAAACCAGTTTTGACTAATATCAGAAAGTATTTACTGAGTACTCAGTGTTATCAGGCACTAATGTTCAGCCTATGAAAATCTTGATATCTTCAAGAATTATGTAATAAGAGCAGTTGCCCTTCTCACCCTTGGAACATACTTTCTTAGTCTGTATTTTTCATTGACTTCACAGAATCTTACAAAGTATCTCCTCCCTCAAGAAAAATCCCACAACTTTGACCGAAGCCATTTGTGTGTTTGTGTGTGTGGTGTATGCATCGTTCCCACAGTTGTTACATTTGTATATAAATAAATGAATTAGTAAATAGTCAAATAAGTAAAATGTAAATATTTGCACTTACCCATTATGTACACACATGTATGTATGTATTCAGGCATATGTAACTATGAAAAGTTATGCCTATTGATAGAGTAATTTTTCTATCATGTGGAATGTCATCAAACATTCCATGATCCATTCTCTCCCAATTAGGAGGGAAAAATTAGGGATACTATTATTAAACTACAAAGTTCCATTATTATTAAACCAAAGTTCAAACGTAAGGGGAAAAGAGGCATCAACTATAAGTATTGTGCTACTTTAATATGTCTAGGAACTATTCCAGAAAAGGGGAAAGGAGGAATAAGGGAGAATGATGGAGGGGTAATTCAACTGTGATATACTGTAAGAACTTTTATAAATGTCACAATGTGCTCCCAGTACAATGATAATAAAAATAAATTAAGAATAAAATGTAAAAACAATAGAGTATCTTCTCAAACCACTGTGGAATTAACATGGAAAATAATAATAAAATATATCTATAAAAGTCTCCAACTGTTAAAAAAATCTGATGGATGAAAATTTTATATAGATTAAATAAAATTTTGATAATTCCTGAAATATTTGCATTTTCTTTTTTCAAAATAACCTGATCTTATGTAGATGGATTCAGGATCACTAGACATTTTCATGCTTTGCCCAATTTGGAGAAATAGAAAAATCTACTAGATGGTGGAGGGGTTGATGTGCTCTTGGATAATCATGAATAACCTTTAAAAATAGTTTACAATGTAACATGACCCCCCTATATACTACTGGTTTTTTTTTTCTCCCTTGACATCTAGATATCGCTCTATTCTCCAGTTGGTCAAGCCATGGTACGATGAAGTAAAAGATTATGCTTTTCCGTATCCCCAGGATTGCAACCCCAGGTGTCCTATGAGATGTTTTGGTCCCATGTGTACACATTATACCCAGGTAATTTCAATTGGCTTGTTAATTTTTTGATTCACCTTTAAAAAATGTTCTTTTTTGATAAGCATTGATTTTTGTTAGCAGTATTAAAAAATATTGGTTTATTTTCACAGATGGTTTGGGCTACTTCTAACCGGATAGGATGTGCAATTCATACTTGCCAAAATATGAATGTTTGGGGATCTGTATGGCGTCGTGCAGTGTACTTAGTATGCAACTACGCCCCAAAGTAAGTACCAAGTTGGATTCTATTTCCCGGATCCTTTAATGATGGCAGTTTTGATATTAAATAAGTAAGAGCTGTCTACAGTGGCCTGTAGTCTTGAACCTCATCATCATTCCCACATTCCTGAAAACTGTAAGGTTTCTTTCCATGAGGGCAGGGACTCTGAGCTAAAATTGTAAGCAAAACAATTTGAGACACCTGGGCTCTTTAAATTCTCCTTACTGTCTTTCTTCTGTCATGGTAGCTGCAAACATTGTACTTCACAGGCTATGTGAAATGTACTTCAATAGCTATGTAAAATGTACCAGAAAAGAATCTTCTAGGAAATTTATTAACACCGCAATATTCTGACTTATCAGTACTAGAATGTTGGCTCAACTTCTTCACTATGAAAGCAAAGTACTGGAAATGAATCCTTTCTTCCTTCTCTTATTTTTTAGATTTAAAAATATTCAATAACATCATCCTATTGGCCACATAAGATGAGTTGCAGGAATTTATCAAAGATTATCAAATATAATCATATTTATGGACATTTTCATAATAGAAGGATCAATAAACATTTGCCAACATTTGATAAAATACCTTCTTGATAACAATAACTCTTCAGATGAGAAACATTCCAGTGTTTATTCACTGCCCTGATCCCATTTGGAATAAATACTAAAATGTGCAAAGGATTTATGATACTCTTAGTGTTTTCCAAAGTAAGTCCCAAACAAAGATTTTCTCCAGCTATTGCAGCATTGGGAGGGAGGGAGACAATGTGTCACAAACAACTGCATTACTCATTGATATAGTAATGTGCCAGGCCAGAGCTTTTGCAAAGTTAGAAAAATAGTATTTCTTCCCATAGTCCCTTCTTCGATTGTTAGGATGGGGAGCTTTGGAAAATAGAATGTTTTGCATTATTTTTAAAAGGCATTTGCAAAGACCTTTGCACTTGTTTAATGTTTTTGGTTTCACACTTTGTATCTTCCTCCTCAGCCTTTACCTTTTCTCCCTGACATAAATCCGGCAGGAAGTAACCAAATGGTCAAAGAGATCTTATTTTTCATTTCATTCATTTAACACTTCTATTTTGGGCCAATGATCATAATTTTGTAATATCATTGAAGTAATATATTATTGCCTTAGAGGTTCAAGAAATTAAGATGTTGCGTTAACATAACAATTTCACTTTTAGTGAGGAGTTTTAAAAATCTTTACTGATAGGCAAATAGAATTCATCCAATGTCAATATGAAGTTATCTCTAGTCTGCTTTTCAGTGAGAGAAAAAGGAGAGGATTAAAAGAACAAAGACAGAGAGAGAGAGACAGACAGAGAGAGAATGTAATTAGATGGAATGGAACAAAAATAAAAGAATGAGTTATCAGTTGATTGACAAACTATTGAATATCATTATACTCCAGGCAATAATAATTATGATTTATGTAATAGTTCATAACATATAATTTTACATTATACTAAAATTCTATTTCTAAGCTTCTGTTACCAAAAATATTTGTTGTATAGTTTTAAAAGGTTGTGAAGAATACGTAGTAACTATATGAAATTTAACATAGGCTAGTTTCATATACTTTTATAGCTTTGAATAAATATACAGAAGGAAATAAGATCTTCAATATAGAATGGGAGAGAGTGAGGAGTCATAAGACAATGGGCCTTGAACATTTTTGGAGAAGCATGTGATATCACCAAAACTATGCTGAAGGAATCCTATTCCCAAGGCAGATTGTAGAATAAATTATAGCTGGACAATCCTAAAAATCCCATTTCATTTTGTAACATTAATAGTTAATAAGAAAGACTTTCATTTAAAGATAAATTTCCTATGTAGAAAATATGTGAAGTTTTTACTGACTGACTTTGCTAGATATTTTCATATCCTATTGATGTGCATTGTAGGTTCTTCTGGGTCTTATTTAGGCTTAAAGAAAATGGGCATGTTTTATACATTTTAGCATCTTACCATGTCATCTTGTGCTTCACCCTAATTTTTTACCACAGATAGCCAAATTTTTACCTGACCGATTTTTCTTGCGTTGTTTTTAGTTCTTTAGTCATTAATCACCATGCTCCTGAAATACATCTATTATAGTTTCCCTCATAGTTAAAAGAAACCAAATAACAGTAAGGCATCACAGCTATTTTTTAACTATTTTAAATGGTGAATTTCATTCTCTATTATAGTCATGGCCATCAACACAGTGAAAGAATAATATTGACAAAAAGAAATTCAATTAAATGTGATTAGCATTATCAAAAATACGAACAGTATAAGTAAAAAAAATAGTAGCCATGAATTTGTATATGGAAAAAAGTGATTGGGAATCACTTTTGTGCCATTATTCAAGTCGTTTTTCTTTTAATATGAGAATAGTGTTTTTTCTAGATCCTTATTTTATAAAGATTGGAATCTAAAATATGACTTTGGAAACAAATCTCATGAGCATTTATAACTTGTTTACCATGTCTATGGTAACTTCTTGCTTTTTTCATCACTTCTAAGTCTTCTAGAAAATAGTAGGTATTTTTTAACCATCTTTAGAGAGCATTAGTATGATTTTGGGAAGAGGAAGTTTAGGTGATCATGTACTAACCTTGTGTTTTGAAGGCTGCTGGAGAAGGAGACAAATAAGATTAATGGAATGAACCTGGTGTCCCATGCCTACATATATCCTCATGCGTTGTGGGACATCTTAGCCTTCTCAAAGAGATAGTATTTAAAAAGCAAGAAATATTGAATAAATGTGGAAATAAGAAGTGGCTATAACTTTCAATGCCCTTCTAAAATAAACTTCTCAAAAAGATCTTTACATGCCAATACATGTGAGCATGAGTTTAAAGACAGCCTGATATTTTTAATGGGTGAATAGCACTAATACCATCTTTTATTTTTCCCTTCTAGGGGTAATTGGATTGGAGAAGCACCATACAAAGTAGGGGTGCCATGTTCATCTTGTCCTCCAAGTTATGGGGGAGCCTGTACTGACAATCTGTGTTTTCCAGGAGTAACATCAAACTACCTATACTGGTTTAAATAAGCTTACTTCTTTCTCCAGAAAATATAATTGTTTCTGGGAACCATAGGCATATATATATATTGAATTTTGCACATATTATACATATTTTATGATAATTTTGTTGTCCTTTTAGTATTCATTTGTATAGTGTTTTGTCTAGTATGTTTAATCCTTGAACATAATCTGAACATCCATGACTATTTTCTAACCTCTAAGTCTAAATTAAAATATTGTATATGTAGTGATGGCATAGTTGATGCATCTGATTCCAAAATTTGCACTCCAGGAGAATTATGTCATTATGTTCCTAAGGAATAAATACATGCTCAACCTGAATACATGGTCAACCTGTGATGTGTGTGCATGCATATATATATCAATATATACCTACCTATATATGTATGTATATGTGCACACACATACAATATGTAGGATGTAACACATAGATAATAATATGATTCAATAGTTAACCTGAGGGAAATTCTTAGAATTTGCAAAATGACACAGTGATATTTGGACATAATTTGATTAAGTAATTGCAGATTTCATTCTGGAGATATTTTTATTTTATTTGGGTCTGCCAAAGTGTATGCTCAATTTATATGTTTCCAAACCCTGCTTTTTGTTTAGTTTCATTTTATTGAATGAATAGTTGTGTTGAGCGTTTACTAAATTCAAGGCACTCCGTTATGTTATATTCTGATAATACAAAGATGATAAAATGTGGTTCTTGTCCTTAACAAGCTCTCAAAAAAACATTCAGGAAATGAATTTTGCTACAAAATTATTTTAATGAAACAATTATCATGTAGTTTTGAGGAAACAAACAGCAACAGTGTTCACTTATAGATGGAATAAATGATAAGCTATGCCAGCTAATATGGAAAGCTTCTGACTCCAGGAAAATTTACCTGCAGTACTTGGAACAAGAAAGGGGAAAGAATTAATAACTGCTCAGATGTTTTTAGAGAAGAAAAGATAAAGCTGAAACTAAGACCCCGAAAAAACTGATGAAATCCAAGAGAAGTAAAGCTTAAGGAACAGGTATGAAAAGTCTAGAAATAAAGTTTTACTTCACAAAAGCACCAGAGGAAGAACTTTAGGGCACATGCTGAGGGTCTAGTACATTGTGAGGGATTTCAGAAAGAGACTGGGGTGCTGAGGGCAATTGTCACCTGTTTTGCCAGTCATTTTTTTGGTGAGAATTAATCTACCTATCATCTTGGTCCTTTGAGTATCCTATCAAAGATCCTTTACAGTCAGGATTTTGTTAGCATAGCCCTCTTTGGATGTTTTTCTAAGGACTTACTACCAAGTTTATTTTTATATCTCTATAGAAGGACAATGTTTAGTTCCTCATTAATTTTGATTATGAAAATCAAATAAGTCACTGAAAATTCCCCTCGTGCAATTTGGAAATACAAACTTTCTTCATTTATGAAATCTTTTATCAGAGGGAAAAATACAAGTCCTGGGTCAAGAATATATAAAAATACAAGTCCTGGGTCAAGAATAACTTAACACGTTATATTTCAAATGTGTATGTGTTTTACTCAGGTTGGGTACTGCTTCCATAAGATTACAGAGCAACAAAATATGGTTAGTTCTAGAGGGCAAATAACAGAAGGAAGCTACTTGTTTAAATTCTGTACACATTTGCAGTTTCTTAGGGTGGATGCACTGAAAGATGACAGATAGTTAACTATATTCATTCAATGGGGGAAGAATCCACCATCTGGAGATCGGCTCTATTTGATGACAAACAACTGGCCCAATTACTTCCACAAATTGAATATGGTGACCAAATGTTTTGCTATCATACTGCACTGCCTTTGAGGGCACACATATGGACCTATTAGAAATAAATATGTTGTAGAATGAAAAGGAGAGAAGTAATTAAATGATTTAGGCCCCAATCCAACTTTTTTCTAAGATAACGAGGCAGTTGGAAGGAAAGCCTGCTGAGTGGGATATTGGTTTGATTTACCCAGCAAGTGTATTCATCCTCAGCATTACCATAGCACTCTACAAAAACTGCAGGAAGTACCACTCAACAGAAGTGGGCTGTTCACAGTTCTAGTTATCTTGCTAGTTGTGTAGCTTGGTTTCTCAATTCTAAAGAAAAGTTGTGAAATTGTTCTATGTATGTCATGGAGGTTCCTGTGGAAGCAAATTTACTATATGAACAGAAGTTTATGAATATTAAAATTATCATTAACAGAGTTCCTCTCTGGCATGAACTCTAATTCATTGTATTTATCCCAGCACGTTACATAGTGGCTACATGTGATATATATATTTAATAAATGTTTATTTGAGTGGATTTTTAGAATCAGTGAGAAAGTCTAAAATTGCAACAATCAAAAGGAATTCTACCTTTCCATGCTTTTTAAAGACAAAAGTCTCTTAAATGTAAAGCTTTGACCCTAACAAAACCCAGATAAATCACTAAACATATCAGATTAAGACTAGGGTCTACACACTAATAAGTTACACTTATGCAATAGTTCTTTCCAAACCACAAGTTTATTTATAAACAACTAAGCTGAAAATATAACGGGTATACTTGTTATTGTGTCCTGTACTTTTTAAAGTTAGTAGTATAAAATGGCCATGTGAGATATTTTATTTTCTAGGCTAAAGTAAATGAAATCTTGCTGTTATCATCATGGCATCTCGTATGTTCACAGCATGTAACAATGGTGCTACGATAGCCATTTCACACTGTACTTCCCATAGGCAGAAAGGGCCTGGGTAAAAACTATTTCATAAGAGCTGCTTTCAATAGTCAGTATTAACGTGTTCATTCAGAATGGCTTCAAAATGAATAGTAATTGGCATTACGTTCTACAGCATTGATTTTTTTTGTTACCTTTTGTTCAGTGGAAAAGTCAAAACATTCTGTCCCAGTATAAGGGCTTTCTTGCATCAGAAAAAGGTGGGGAAAACCCCTATAATTTTAGGTATTAAATCAATGGACTTCTTTATAGAATTGTCTAAGAGTTGTGCAGGCATGGTCTTAATGTTCCTGGTTATGGCAGATAGGCTTGCTTTAAAAATGTGGCAGAAGGAATAATTATTACTGTTGTTTTTACTTTTGTTCCGTAGTCTAAACATCATCACTTCTGTGTCCATCAGGGATGCCTTATGAACTTCATTTGGTGGTGCTGTCACTCCATTTGACACTTTCATGGAAACATTCATTTGCAGATTCTGTGAAGTTTTAGGACAGAGTCGATCATATGGAAGGGCAGGTTCAAGCAATGCAATTTACTCAGTATTTGAATTGAAAAATCTATATATTTTCCATTTATTCACACTTGTGTTAAATCAACTCAAAATGTCTACATCAGTAAATCTAATGCAAATTTAGGCCAATTTAAATGTTTTAGGTTCATACCTTGTTTGTTGAATAAATGCACAAGCTAAACAGATAAGTTGAATGTTTCCATGTAAGAAAAGTAATGCTGAGATCATGGTCTATGTTCTTCTCCCTGTAACAACAGAACCTTAGATTCTGCAACATTCATACGATGCAAATCTTGACATACATGGAAGTCTTTAACTACTGAAGTATTAAGGGAGGATAGAGTTATATTCTGTTAATATTTAACATTATCCTTGTTTTTATAGTTCTTTTGTATTTTATAAATGTGATGACATTTAAACACATGCAAAATGATTTTTAGATGTTATGTCATGAGCTATGAATTATGAATTATGAAGGGCCAATCAAAAACTTGGAAAGTAACAATTCACTGATTAATGGTGCTGAAAACATTACAATCACCATCTTCTTGCTACAATTTTGCAATTAAAGTTATTTTTAAGTGTGAACTATCAATATATTTTCTGGTGCTAAATGTATGGTGCTAAATGAATTTTTAGTGTTGGTGTTTTTAGTAATGCTCCTTTTATTCATTCAATTCTTGATTCAGAAGTATTAATAAAAAATATTCACCAATATATGCCAGCTAAATTTGTTTTCTTTTCATTTAACATTCTGATGTTAGGTAGGTGCTGCAGAATGTAAATATATTTCTTTAGTAGTCATCAATTTTCTTCTTCAATGAATTTTTTTTTAGCTTGGCAATGTCCAAATTCAAGTATCACCTGAAGGTTCCATTATACCTGTAATAACCATGCTGCAGACCCTGGTGCCCTCTGCTGGTGGTGGAAACATATCCTTAAAGTCTACTTGGCCTTCAGGAAAAGCCAGTTGTGTTTAGTGAAAATTTAAGTTGAACAATATTAGAGTTCTTTAGTACTCTCTAAATCTGACAGCCTGTCTGTCAGATGCCTAACTTCATTGACATCTTTTCCCAAGAGGAGAAAAGAGCATTAATACATCTTTAAATCCATGTTCCTGAATACTATTATTTTTTACATGATTTTCCAGCTCTAAGGTGCTTATTAAAATGTTTTATTCTTTCTAGAACCAAGTTTTTCTAAAATATATTTTTATTTGATTACATCATATGTACAATTATAATTCCATTTAGCAAAAATAATTATTATTGTATCTCATTTTCAGGAGTGATAATTTATTTTTGTTTAGCCTAGTTCATAAGATAAAAAGGGAAATAAAATAATAATTAGCTACAGATATAAAAGTGATTTCTCCACTTTTCATTGTTGACTATAAAAAAATGGTAAGATTTTATTGTTCCATTCAAAGTCTTTCCAGACTAACAATTGTACATAGAAGGTGAGAATTATATCACTGAAACTACTTAAGGCAATTGATATTCTCAAGTAAACTTTCAGTTGAGATACGTATTTGACTGAGTGTGATAAATCACTGGGTGATTTTTGGACAGATTTCTTAAGTCATGTTAGCATAACCAAATAAAATTTACTTTGAAGTTGTTTCCCCAATTAATATTTTCAAACTTTTTAAAGCAACAAAACCTGTTCTATGATCTAAATCATACACAAAGCTCCAGAATACAACACACTTCCCCAAACCTTCCTTAGTGCCTGGGAACTTTCTTCTCTGAGTCCATTAAACAAAAAACAACATTCATCTACACTATCCAGTTCCTTCCATTTACTCTAAAGCAATAAGCTCATGAAAGGAAAAAAAAAAAAAAGAAAAGAAACAAACGCAGAAAACATTTCAGAGCCTAAATTGTTTCAATGGTTCTTTTAAATACTCAGTTCACTTTGCATGT